GTGTCAACCCAGAAGCAAGTGGCTGGAACCCACTATCTGCTGCACAAGCAAAAGATGGGCAATCTCCTCCTAGGCAAATTACAGCCTCCGAAAGCCCACAAGAGAGTCAGCTATGAGTCGATTCTGACTCAAGAACACATAAAACAACTTATTTAAACACGCGCGTGTGTGTGCGCATGCGCACAATACCGCCGTCTCCCACACACAAGCCCCGCTGTGGACACGCATGGGGATGTGAGGCACTGGAGGAATGGGAAGCACTCACGAGTAGGTGGTCAGTTCCTCTAGGTTGTTGTGCATATTAAATGCATATTTTTCTCCCAAATGAAAGATTTTCTCCAGCGCCTCGTAGATGAATATGATGCAAATGAGTGCTGCAAATGCTTCCTCTGTGAAGCGCGTAATGTAACACACAAGGCTGCTCGCATCTGTTGCAACCAACACGATGCACAAGAACGAAGTCCACAGACCAATGCTGGTCCGCAGAGACAAATAGGAGAGGTTGTAATCTCTGTGCAGAAAAGAAAAACATATGGCTGTCGTCAACATAAACGTGCATTTGTACATAAAAGTTCATCATGGTGAGAGAGCATAAAACCACAAACCTCCTAAAGAAGACCATGAATGAAAGAACTACTAAATAATTAGGCTACTGTTTTCCTGGCTTCAAGTGAAGACAAGCCAGAAAAATAATCAGAGCAGGATAAACGAGAGGTTGTAGCCCTGGAGTGAGAGACTGTGAAGAGGTGTGGCAAGTCGTGTTAAGAGCCTGACGTAGGAGACACCACTCAAAACGGCAATGATCAACTACAATACTTGAGTCAGGCACCGCTGTTTCTGACTGTGCTAGGCACGAGTGTATGGCTCCTGTGCAAAATACACACTGCCTTTGTTTTCTAATCAGGAGATGGTGTTTCTAACTGGGTGCTGATCTCTTCATTTCCCCATTCCAGTTATTTATTCTGGAATATCCACGTTTTCCACATTTGTGTCATTCCAGGCTTTTCATCAGCTGTGATCGAACCAAGAAGAATCAGTTCAAAGTTCTGCTTTAAATCACTATAAAGCTTTTAGAGTAAAGATCTAACATAGGCAAGAAAATGTTTCAAAATTATTAGGTTTCACTTTGCCAAGCAGTTATGAGGAGTAAATGACAGATGACAATCTGCAGCTCCCTCTGACGGCTGAGCAGCTCAGTGTGTCCATATGGTCGCTACCATCATTATTATGAATTCCTCCACCTCTGGTATAACCATAACTCAAACTTACTGCCATCAAGTTAGAACCAACTCACAGCTGACCTTTCAGCAGGTTGTCAGAGACTGTAAACCACACAGGAGGAGACGTATCCTCTTTCTCTCATGAAGCAGCTGGTGGATTCGAACCACCTGCATTTGGGCCAGCAGTGCAATTCCTTACATAGTGGTCCACCACTATTTTTTTTCCCAAGAAATTATTACCATTGAATTTAAAATAACTTAGGTTATTGTATGCTCTTTCTATATGTCTATGTATTTTGTCAGACTAGAATAATTCATCAGAAGGATTAGTGAGTCAAATTGAACCAGCACAAGAGGAATGAGATCAATCGAATGTTTCAAACCATCAAGTAGTTTCTGTTTAAAATATTCCACTGCATTTATTTCGGTTGAATATCAAAGTCTACTTTGCAAATATAACAAGTTGCCTTCTTCTCTCCACAGCAAACAACCTGGTCTCTGAATAATCCCATCTCACTCTGTGCTCTAATTAAACAGGGGCCCGAGGTAAACGCACTCTGGGCCTTTGCAATCCATCTTCTACTAAGCTTCCTTTGTAAAATCAATATATATGCCGCCGAACAAATAATTTAGATTAACACTTTCTTGCTGGTTTAACTTTGCGAGCACAAGGATTTTTATTGTTTCTCAAGAGATTTGCTTACTCAAACTCAAACTTGTTGATTTTACACTCAGAGGCAAAAGAGTGGGTTTTTTCCCCCTTCTTTTCCATGATAATAGAGTAGGGAATACAAAGAGCCAATGGCAGAGAAGGTTCAACCACAAGGTGGTCCAAAAGTACACAATTAATCAGTGTTTTCCAATTATTAAACATACAACATACATAATTATGAATAAGATTATTTATCAATTATTAAACATGCAACTAAAGCTAACAAGGTACTCTATAACTACTTATAGGTAAACATAGGCAATTAGTACAGAATCATTACTTACTTGCAAAATTTGAACAAAATTTTTTCAAACACTAGAACTGGACCTGTACTTCCCAGTATTGTAAGAGGTTGCCCAGCAAATAACGAATAGGCAATCCCAGTTAATGACGCTCCAAAGAGAGACTCTATTGCACTCTGTTTAAGGAAAAGAGACATGAATAAAAGCCATACATCATAAACTTCTCTCTAAACTACAGGGAAGGCACCTGGAAACCAAACAAAAATAAAGACACTAATTGTGAATCATTACAAACACAAAGCAAACACAATTGGGCATCTAAAATTTAAGTATGTGAAATTACAAATACATTTTAAATGCACAGGAGAACAACTTTAATTTTGCATTTTCAATGTGAAAATTTTGCAATCAACTGAATTTAAAAACTTAAATTTTCAAAACACTTCAAGAGGGGAGAAAAGGAAGGGTAAATGGGATAGAAATACAGCAAGGGTTTCAACTTTATCTATAGATAGTTTATTTATCAAGACTGGTACAGAGGTGCACACACTATTTTAAATAATTTTATGTTTAAATTAATTCTTTATAAAGCAACAGAAAAACCTAATGAAAACTCAATATTCCATTAAAAAGAATAAAAATTTAAAACCCAGTTCTATTTTTCCCAAATTGATTTAAGAGCCATGTCCACACATTTTAAAGAAAATTAACATGATAAACGTATGCTAGTAATAACAGAACTGAAATGCTGTAATGTAATTTAACTAGATGGGGGGAAAAACCCCTCTTAATAATTCACAGTAACTGTAATTGTCATTAAAGCTCAGTAAAGAAGAGAAAATAACAAAGGAAAGACTCAGAATTGTCAAACCACCACAATTAATAAACACCATGTTTACTATATTGTATGATAAGAGTGGATCATATGGTACTAGATAGAGGGAAGGAACCAGCAGAAAGGAAGAGTTAACCATTCACAAGTACCCATGTCAAGGAGAACACGCTATAAAGAAAGGAAGAAGCTCGTAACTGGTGAAGGCAGGGCAAGGGCGTTTGTAACAACTGTAATTGAGGCAACCCAGCAGAGTGCTGAGGGCAAACCTTCAGGACCCAGTGCTGTGATGAAAAGCTGTATGAGCTGTTGAGTTATGGCCACATCTTCAGCTTTACCAGGCCCATTTTTATGGTAATGATGTCAAGTCAGGAGAACTTCATAAAGTGGTGCTTGTGAAAATTGAATCTGGGTCTAGCACTTACATTGCATACAATAAAAGGTAGCCATAAGCATCAGCTATGTAGCATCTTTCTACATTATAAAACATAAATAAAATGTAATGAAAGCATAATTCAATGATTTGAAAAACCCATACATAATAACTCTGTCTTTTGGCTAGATGAATGTGAAGTTTCCATATTAATGATAGATTTGTTAACTGCATGGAGAAAAAATTATTTCCTTGTTCATGGACAAAAAAAGAAGTTTTTCCTTGAAGACACTGCTATGTCATCATGAAATCCTTAATTCAACTAGAAATGAGGTAGAGCTTAAATGAAAGAAGAAGAAAAACCACAGTACCCAAAAACAGAAAGGGGAAAAAAAGGATGAAAAAGAAGCAAATGGCAAAGGAAAGAAATGCTGAGATGGGACAGACAGGCAGAGAAGTGGGGTTTCACTCCCCAACGTTGGCTGAAGAGCAGAAAGTGCCACGGGGATGCCATCCATCCACTCCTCAGTGCCTATCGCCACACTTCATAGAAGCAGTAAACCTTTGTTCTGTCCACATGTGGTTTTTGTTTTTAATTGTTTCAGAACCATTTCTTTTCTTTCCCAAATATAATTCTCTCTTTTCCTAAAGAAACCAGTCCCTTGACATCATCTTCTCTACTCTGCAAAGGTGAGACATCTCAATTTCACCCACAATGCCCTCCTTCTTGCTCCCACCTGGGTAGACATCCCTGCCTGGCACAGCACTGGGCACTGTGTAATCCTTCCTTATTAAAAGAATAAATTATGTATTTATATTAAATACTTATGCATGTATCAATTGATAAGTATTACATTATCCATTTTTTTAAATAAAATTTTTCTTTTATACTGGCTTTCTTACAAAATTCATATATGTTGTTTTCTACACGGGATCTTTAAAACCAACAAAATTATATCATCCTGAATGTTCTTCTAAAACTCCAACTATTTGTACTTTGCTGGGGCACATGACTCCTCATTCTCATCCCACTCCCACTCCCAAATGCGAGTAGTAAATTCCCATTTTTGACCTTCTGCTTCATTCCCTACCGATCCACCTCCCTTATAAGTATGATCTATCCTTGGTTTTTAACCTCTCACACAGATGAATGACTCCCAATCACTGTGAGTCCTCTTTGCTGCTGGGCGCTATTCAACTGAACAACTCAAACAATAGACACGACCTCGTCCCACTGACAAGCTGTCACTGGAAACTGGATCTGCACTTCTGAGTTCTTCATTTCTACCAGAAGTTCCAAGGCAGCAGCTGAAAACAGGCATGTCATCTTCACGGCATCTTCTGTCATAACATTCCTGATTTCTCTTAGTATTTCACCACCTCTGATCCCTCGTCTGTCTCACTCCCACGTGGCAGGCACAGCACACAGCACACAGGAACTACGGACATATAAGTGCCTCATCTTTACCACTAAAGTCAGGATCCTTGGCCCCAGGAAGCACATACTCATCTACACCTGTCCTTAACCTCTCTAGTGTCCAACACACCATCACATGCACATGGTATTAAATAGCAGGATGGGATCGGCAGGCAGAGAGGACAGTCCGAGAACAAAGCAGCAGTGTTTCCATGACGGTAACAGAGAGGACAGCTCCCTGCAGGGACCTGCTGAGTTATGTGTACCATTTTTGACAGCACAGAAAGTCATCCTAAAATAGCATATAATGATTGAAGGGAAAAGGAAGACATAGAGGTCTGAAAATGCTGAAAAACGTCTACATAAAAGAAGTTCAAAGAACATGTCAGTAGTCAGCCTGATCGCATGATAGGGCCACAAAATAACTGAGTAATTATCATCATCACTTAGGTTTCAATCTTTTATGTATTAAAAAAGGGGGGGGAACGCAACAATTTTCTCCCTTGAGTAAATGTAATTAAAGACTTTAGAATTATAGATTATCTCATTTAAATATCATTAAAATGGATATACACAAAATAATGCTGTTTAGGATTCACAGAGCAATAGATAGAGTCTTCAATTATCATGCCTCTTATAGTTCCTAATACATTATTACTAAGAACAGAAAAACAGAACCTTTTATGTTGGACCCAAGGACAAACCTTTCATTTCTCAAGCAAAAGCGCTGGTTAGTTTCACACAGATTTAAGAACAGCAAAATGAAACACTACATTAAAAAAAAAACAAAACAACTATCATTTCTTCAGTGATGATTTCTTCTTCCTATCAGGGAGGGCTGATGTAATTATCATTGGGCTCTAACTAATGTTATGGTGCCTTATAGAATCAAGTTCCCCCCTCCATATGACCCACCCGAAATTAATTTCGTTGTCCCATTCCCACCACCCCCTTTCTCCCAACAAAATATAATGCAAGCTTTTTACTTAAGTTATAAAACCATTCATCCAGCAAGCCAGGGCAAACTTTTTTTTTTTCCTTTTCTTCTGTTTCTTCTTTGTTAGCTCTACTGTGCAGCTTCTCCTGTTCAGATGGCTTTCACCCTGTTTTCCATGGCCATTGACCTTGGGGGGGAAAGTCTGCTTTGGGACGGGTAAATCATGCGGTTGGGTAGACTCTTCAAATAAAAGTAATAACGTGTGAGCCAAATGCACACAGACACTTGCCTCGGAAGAGCTGAGAGCCTGGCTACTACCAATCTTTGTACTCACTATTCTGCCTTCTGTAGCTTCTCCAAGCAGCCCTCCAAAAGTGATTACAGGAGACATACAGGCACAGTATAGGAAAAGAATCGAGGCCAGGCACTGCAGGCTTAGTGCATCCTTGAAGTCACTCAAGAAAAAAGGTGCTTTCCTTTTGATGTCAAGTATCAAACCACCAAAAACCCTGAATAGGTGAGATGAAACCCGTCAAACTGTACACCGGAGGATTCTAGCTAGTTCACACGCAAACTATGGGCTACACTGCTGAGACCTAGCGGTGTCAACAGAGTTCCAAACCCCATTTTACCTCCCAGTCCCAATTGTAGAAGACACACTCAGTTACTCTCACCCTTTAGTGACTTGGGGAAAGGAGATCTTTTATGATCTCAAAAGAGACAAAACTAAAGTTACAGACTACTGCTGACAACAGGCAAATGATTTTATATGACTAAATGCAATTTGGGGCCAAAATGTGCAAAGAAATTTATGATAAAAATAAAACTCTTAACATACCCTCCCCTGAAAATGTGCATAGGCAAGTCTTTCAACTACTATCTACATGATACATTCTAAGAGCAAGCATGAGACTTAACAGGCGGCTATTACGGCAAATATGAGGTCCCCAAACACTCTTTAAAACGAACATAGTATGTTGTGTACTTAGATGTACCGAGTAGTAGATTAAATGGTAATCTTTAATAACTCTTAAAACTAATGCTTCATAAATATTTGCACCTGGAGAACTATTTTAGCATAGTTAGTGTACTGTACTTGTACTCAAACTACGGTCCAGGAGTAAAATTAAGATTTACTTAGTCGATGAAGCTGTGTATTTGAGCATCATTTAAAAAAACAAACAAACCCATTTTTGTCCAATTGGACTTCTAAAAACATCTGGGTTGGAAATATTGGGCTAGAAGATAGGTTCTACAACTAGTAAAGACTTCTTGTGTACTACTGTGTTTCAAGTGTCTAGAACAACTGTCTGGTTTTATAGTAAACAACTCAGTCAATCTCAGTGTCTGGAAGTGAAGTTCCAGAAGGTTCTGTGAGTCATAAAACACATAAACATTCCAATCTCTACTGAAAGAGATGACATGGAAAAATTAATTTTAAACTCTCAAGGGCTTTAGATTTTTCACATTTTTCCACTAGAATTTTTTTTCTTTTAAACTAATATTGAAGTAACTCCTACCACAGACATTGAAAGGCTGAAGAAGTTCTCCTGTAAATAATTTAACCGCAAGAAGAATCAGCTTTGCAATGAAAAAAAAAAAAGGGGGTGTCACTGATAATCTATAAACTATAGCATTGGAATAAAAACTGATTATTTCAGAGATGCTTCTGCAAAGCTCTTGGGTAACAATGGCATTGATAGGGGCCTGTGTGAAAAGATATGTTGGTGTGGATACAGTATCGAATTCACAAAGATTCACTAGTGAATGAAGGGTGTGTTTATGTTTCTCTAAAGTCTATCATGAAGACGTCAGTTCCTCACTAGTGAATGAACGGTGTGTTTATGTTTCTCTAAAGTCTATCATCAAGACGTCAGTTCCTCTTTTCCCTGCTATTGCATTCACAGGCACTCAGCTTTAAGATCTTTCAGTTCCACAGTAACTACCAATGGACCATATAGCATCAACAGTCACATGACTTTTCGACGTCATGGCTACACCATAACGTTTACCTACTTCTACAAAACATTTTAAGCCAGTGTTTGCATATGGCAATATTTCTATTCCTTATTCAGAAATTAACTTCTTATACACTTTTTCTAACCAAGTATCTAGAGATTATTAGCCTGATTTCTGTCTCTGCATCTCATTTTACATGTTGCATGATACGATGCCCATTTAAGGGCTCTGAGTATGTACACACACAGAAAAAATCTTCCTTACTGAACTCATACTTATCCTTCTTGATACTGGCAACTGTGATAGGATTCTGTAACTACTCAAGAATCTTTCGTGTAAGTGGTAAACATTAATGTATACATTATATAACTATATAGTATTATCATCACCTGGCCCAGTATTTTCATTTACAATCAAAGATTGAACCCAAATATATACTAATATTAAAGTTGTTTTGTAAAGCATATGCTTTTCTTTAATACAATATACCTATCTAATAAGGCAGACTTTTAAAATTATACAAGATTATGTTGCTAGTACTTGGAAAGAAATAGATTTGTGTCTTTTACATCACTTCAGCCTTTGACCCCACAGAAGCTATCTGTACTGTGTGAGCACTGGTACCCACCGGCCAGTCCTCTGCAGCTCCGGTCCGGCGTGATGAGCTGCCTCTTTTGGGGTATCACCCGAGGTCGGGGCAGATCCATTAGGAAACACGGGGATCTTTCTCTTTTCCTGCATTTCACAGAAACAAAGATGTTTTGAGAGTGCTGATTTTTTTAAGAAGGCTGAGAAGAAAAGTTCAATTAGAGAAAACAGACACTTTCACATAGATTACATTTAATCAGTGCTCTTAGGGGAAAAATTGTACAAATATAGACTTCTTTTTAAATAAAAGTTTACTTTAAAAGATAATCCACAATTTGTCTCTAGTAATACTTAAAATGTAACATTTGTTTTTGCATCTTACATTCTCTCATCAAATATACTGTATGTCAAATGTACACACATCATTTCAAATGAATAACTAGTAATAGAAACAGAAATATCCTTGAATAAAATCATCTTCCTCCCACAGAATTTTGCTCACATTCACTATTAAAGAGTTACTACTCACACTGCTTAAAGAAATAAAACATTCCTCATATTAGTTATATAAAAATCATTTTAGCAAAAAAAATTTAAAAAAAATCATTTTAGCATCTCCAGAGATACAAAAAAAAGACATTTAGTACAATTAAAAATCCATTTTCATGAAAAATTTCAGTGACAGGCATTTATGATACTGTCTCAACATGATAAAATGTGTTCTGTGACTTCAACAGCACTATCTTCCGTAATAGAAGAGAGACCAGAGATATTGACTAGAATCAGAAACACAGGAAGAAATGTCCACGCGAAGCCCACTAACAACATTCTATTAGATATTTTATTTTATTTTTTTTCTACTAGATATTTTATTCAATTCAGTTCTAAAACAGAAAAACACTGGAGGCATAAGAACTGAAAAGGAAGGATAAAACTATCTTAGTGCAGATGAGAAGACTGAGAAACTACTGAGTGCATGCATTAAAGCATCAAGAAAAAGATCAAGATTTAAAATATACAATAATATACAGCTTATGATATATGTA